GACCTGGGGGCAAACAGAAAGCAGGCAGGCAGACAGGCACAGAGAGCCAGCCCGCGACACAGAGGGGACAGAATCCGAAAAGGGATGTCCAGTGCAGCGGCAGAGGAGTCTGGGACTCCGGCATCCGTGAGACTATCTGGTCTGGTGGTAGGCATCTATAACACACACACACACACACACACACACACACACACACACACACACACACACCCCGCTCTGGGGAGGGGCAGAGACCAGAGGGTCCCTGGGGCTTGCTGGCCAGCCAGTCTGGCCAGATTGGTGAACTCCAGCTCCAGCAAGAGGGTTTATCTCACAAAACGAAAATGGAGAGCAATGAGCTAACTCACCCAATACCTGGCCTCCACGCACATGCGCACGCGAACATCCGCATAAAGAAAAATAGGCTGTATAATGCAGCAGAAAGACTCTGTAGTGCAGACAGACACACAGCATGTGGAGGTCAGTGGACAACTTGAGGGAGTCAATTCTCATGGGCTCTGCAAGTCAAACTCATGTTGATGCTTGGCGGCAGGCGCCCGCATTGGCTGAGCCGTCTCACCAGCCCTGAGGTGTATTTAAAGGCGGGGAGGAGGTGTGGCCCTTTCCCAGAAAGCAGCAGGGACTGAGGCTGGGGGCAGCTTGAGGCACTGGGGTGGGGGTGGGGGATCCTTGGAGATCGCTCTGTCTGGGGAGTTGGTGGGGTCTGAGCTGTATGGCACCCCAGCTGTCTGTACCTCATCTCTGCTGCCTGCTTGGGCATGATTAGCCTCTGAGCCAATCAATTACCATCTTGGGGAGTTCACCTGTGCCCACTTAAAATCAATCCTCCCACGGGGGGGGGTTGTTTGTATCCCCTCGTGGAGGGGCGGGGAGGGTCACGAGATTCTCCCCTGAGTGTCCGGCCACTCTACACCGCCTGTGGTGTGTCATGCTGCCCGAGCTGCATGTGGCCTTGGGACAGGGCTAGAGTCTATCTAGGCCAGGGAAGGCTAGGGATCTGGAGTTTGATCTGTCCGTGACGCTGGGGAAAGTCATCGTCCCTTCTGGGTGAAGACTTTCTGGTGTGGCGTCTTGGAGGAGGCCCGCCCACGCCCCTCACCTATGCTCTGTAAGGAAACCAGGTCAGTTCATTGAACTTCGGTAGCATTGTGCCTCAGCTCGCCATTGGGACCTTAGGAGGAGCACAGGGCTCCCCCGGGAAGGGATTTTCACACTGCTCTAGCTCTGGCTAGGCCAGGTGATCTAGAGGAAGTGGGAGAAGCAGGAAGAAGTCTCCCCCCCACCCCACCCCGTTCTGTATGGGAGTAAAGGATTGAATGCCGGGCCTGAGAGAGAGGCAGACCCTGCCTTCGGGGAGCTCTGGGCCCAAGCGAAGACTCAAGGCACCCCTTCAACGCTCCTTTGGTCATTCCCAACTCCCGGTGCCCGCACTGGAGAGCCCACGGGACACAGAAGCTGCAGGCGCGCTGCGGACAGATGGGGAACATCTCCCCATTACATAAGGACAAACGGGACCAATTGTTACAAAGGAGGAACGCCACATGCTAGGGAAGGGTGGGGGCCGCCTTAGACTCTGTGTTCTTCCAGACTGCGCTCAAAACCCTCCTGAGGCAACAAGAAGAAAAGTGGGGGTGGCGCTGTGTGGGGGTGGGGCGGTGACCCTGATGGGGGGCACTACCCTGAGAGCCAAGGAAATCCAGGACGTCGTCCCTGTGGAGGGGGAAACCAGACTAGTGAGATGGGCTGGAGCCCCAGGGGCACCCCCGGACGATGGAAGGCTTGACTCAGATTCAGGGAGGTGTAAGTGTGGCATCTGCTGGGCCCCCCTGGTGTGCTGGCCCTGGTCTAGGCTCTCCAAGCTAAATGCCGGAAGAGGGCTGTGGGCAAGAGGCGGCCAATAGCGTGTGGAGAGGCCACACCTGGTTTAGCTTCTGTCGGGTCTCATGCTCTTGGAGATAAAGCCAGGCTTCCCTAACTGCCCCCTGCTGGTCTCATGCTCTTTGGTGGAAGCAGCCAGGCTTCCCTAACGGCTCCCTGCTCCTCCTCTCCATTCGCTTGGTATCTGGGACGCTCCTTAAAGGCTTGGCAGAGCTCAGCACGGGCGTGGCCCTGTTGAGAAGTGGTGGATCTTTTAGACGTAAGGGAGGGCCTCCTGGACCGACTTGAACCTCTGAGGAAACACTGGGTCCCTCTTCTTTTTTCTTCCCTCTCTGCTTCTCAGCTGCCATGAGGCAAACAGGCCTGCTCCACACCCTTCCACCGTAACATCCTGAGCTGCCACAGGCCCAGAGCCACCGGGGACCAAGTGGCCATGGATGGAAACTTGGAGAAACCGTGAGTCAAAATCTTTAGACGTTGGTTTGTCTGAGGTATTTGTTATAGCACTGGGAAGCTGACTGACAGCCCCCGTCTTTTCCTCTGAGGCCATTGCTCAGCCTCTGCACGTACTGTACCCTCTGTCTGTGACACACACACACACACACACACACACACACACACACACACACACACACACACACACACACACCACTGTCCAGCTTAGACATCCTAGGAGATTCAGCTCCAGTCTCCATTTGCAGAGCCCGGTTCCCCTCCCTACAATGTAACTGAAACCCTTTGGACCTCCCAGGACCATGTATCCTGGGAATACATCACCGTCCTTATCTCTGCCTTCTGGACAGACAGCGGGGGCTGTGTGATGGGATTAAAGCCCCAGCCCGAGGGTGAGTTATTTGCCTGTTTTGGGAAATTGATTGGAGGGGGAGAGGTGGTTCCACTGTCCACTCTTGGCAGTATCCCTAAAATGACTGGAGCTGTGTCCTCAGCTGATGGGGAAGGAGCCGGGGATCGGAGTCTAAGAGGCAGAAAAAAAAAAAATCTCAGAGTGATGACTGCCGGTCCGAGTTCAGCAGAAAGGGCCGGGTCAGGCTTTGGTAGTAGAGGTCACAGGCTCTAAGTGGAAAGAGAGGGCAGGCTGAGGGGCAGAGGGCATGCAGGGGATGCTGGGTAATTGAGACAGGACTGGAAGGAAGGTCAGGGGAGGGAGGACGCTGCCCACTCTGCTGACAGGTGGCTAGATGGGAATGACTCAGGGCAGAGACTGTCTGGGGAGGGCCAGGGTGAAAGTCGCCTAATCCCAGCAAAGGGAAGCTCCGTGGTGCGATTTTTATCCAATTTGCCGTCGCCTCCCTCCAGGGATTTTATGTGCTACCAAGACAGAGGCAAGGAAAATACTTGTCCCCCAGGAGTCGACCCCTCTCAGACCTACTGTGCTTCTGTTCCGAGGGAGACACTGGCATCTGGGCCAGCATGCTCTCGGAGGGCCTGGGGAGGGGGCACACGTTGCTAGTGCAGGTACCTCGGTGGTAGGGGACAGAGCGGAAAAACCGGGAAGAGGCCATTAGGTAGGGATGAGGGAGCCTGGGGGAGAAGAAACCTCATAAAATGTGGGAATGTGGGTACTTCCATGCCCACTGGAAGGCATCAGAAGGGCTACAAAGGCTACTCTTAGGACTGGAAGCTGGGTGGCAGAGGGCTTGGAGGCCCAAGCTAACAGCTCCCATGTACATCCGTGCCTTCCTTCCTGAGCACAGCTGGGCTTGGGAAGACTTCTGAAGTCTCTTGTGCAGCGTGATTTGGGTCCACAGAGGACCATGGGTAAGTCGAGATCTCTGGCCCACATGACCACCTACCTGGTCAGTGCTCCCTGAGGCAGGGACTGTTCCTAATCTTCAGAAAGAAGGTCAGACTGCCCTGGGCCTGACGGCCACCCTCACATCCTTATTCATCCCACAGCCACAGTGGGAACAGGACACAAGCCCTTTCCACATGTGAGACACCAAAGCTTGGAGCTATGAAGATGCTCAGCCCGAGGTGGTGAGGTCTGGGTATGAACTCTCGATGCCAGGTGCTCATATCAAAAGACATGGTGCCTCCTCTTTCTAGCTCTGGCTACCGTGGAGAGGTAAAGACAGAAAGGGAGCAGGACACGGGGAGAGGGGGAGAGGAGAGAGTGTGGGCTCTCACAGAGGAGCGAGCAAGTAGTGTAGCCTGAGGTGGGATGAGCTGGAAACGCGCTGGCCCAGAGAACAGGTCTGTCTCCGCACCCTCCTACTTTTCCTGCAGAAACACCTGCTCCACACAGCCTCGGGCCTCTTGATATTCACACCCTTGCCTGGTTAGGGGCCAGGCCGGGACTATCCTCTGAGACTCCATGCTGGCTCTCTCTGGGCAGTGCCTAGCTTGTGAGTTTTGAAACAGCGTATCTTTACTTAATGCCCAAACTCACAATCCTCAGGCCTCCGCTTCTAAATGGAGCTGGTACCGTAGGCTCGCACAGGATCTGGCTGTCCATGGCCCCCCAAAGCCCCGAGTTCAGAGCATGTCCTACACAGGGGCTCTGAGATGATGTGACTTTGACGGTTGGATGGCCCAGAGAGAAGTGGTTCTAGAGCCCTGCTCTGAGAGGAAGCTGGGGAGCTTCCCCATCCCAGCCCCAGCTCAGCGGGGGCCTGAGGCAGCGATCTGAAGCCCTCTGGCTTCCTGACCTGGACTATGCCTTGGGAGGAAACCTGCTCAGAAAGCAACCAAAGGCCTCCCAGGCATCCCGGTCCAGAGCAGTTGCTTTTCCGACAGAGCAGTGGTTCTAGCTCACATATCAGAGCGCCTGCATATCGGATATTTACATTACGATTTGTAACAGTAGCGAAATTACAGTTACGAAGTAGCAATGAGATAATTTTATGGTTGGGGGTCAGCACAGCGTGAGGAAAGGGTCACGGCCTTAGGAAGGTTGAGAACCACTGAAACAGAGAAGAGGCTTGGAAGATGTCAAGTGATTGGCTCGCTGAAATGTCCTAGGAAACCTGTTTCAAAAAAACAAGCAAACAAAAAACGTCCTGCTTTCCCATGCTGTTGGCAGGGCTTTGATGGGGGGCCATACGTCACTTGGCCCGTCACCCCCGCATATGGTAAAGGGTTACTTCCTTCCTCCACGGCCCTTTGACAAGCCTCCGCTGCACGCCTTATAAACTGTTATGGCACAATAAAAAGCCGGCCCTTAAATGTCACTCACTCAGAGAATTAAGGTGAGGCCCGGCAGGGAGGCCAGCGCTGGCGCGGCATGGTCTGAGGTGGGCACCGTAGGATGGGGTGAGGGTTAGACTGTGGTGGAAGGCAGTGGGATGTGAGGTCTGGGGTTAATGGGAAATGCCCCCCGGCCCTTGAGTGTCTCCAGTAATGATGCCCACTTCTATGGGAAGGTGGCTCAGAGTGCAGGCTTGCGGTGGTGGCTGCCCGGGGACCTGCCCCCGACCCAGCCTGCCTCCTTTCCTATTTTCTTCTCCCCAGCCGCCCACACAGTAGTTAGAACTCAACAGTAACAAAGCATGATGAATCTTAACGACACCAGCTGAGGCCAGGCCCTGGGCCCCCAGGGAGGTGTGGACCTTTCTAGCCTTTCAGGCTGATTTTGGGGAAAACGAGGTCAGCTTCCCCAGCTTTCCCTGGTGGCATCTCAGGTGGAGATGGGAAGGCAGGCATGGCAGCCCACACTTGCTGTGGGATGATGCTCTCGTACACTGTAAAGGTTTGTCACTCGAATTGGTTTAATAAAATGCTGTCTGGCCTGTAGCCAGGCAGGAAGTGTAGGCAGGGTGAGCAGACTAGAAGAAGGAAGAGGAAGGGCGGAGTCAGGAGTCGCCAGTCAGACACAGAGGAAACAAGATGAAAATGCCCAACTGAGAAAAGGTGCCAAGCCACGTGGCTAAACATAGGTAAGAATTATGGGTTAATTTAAGTGTAAGAGCTGGCCAGTCATAAGCCTGAGCTACTGGCCCAGCATTTATAATTAATATAAGCTTCTGTGTGATAATTTGAGAAGCGGCTGCTGGGTATTTGGGAGTTGTTGGCAGAATAGAAACTTCCGTCTACACACACTTATAATCCCAGCACTCGGGAGGTAGAGACAGGAGGATCACAAGTTCAAAGTTAACCTTGGAGTTCCAGGACAGACAGGGATACACCAAAAAGCAAAACAAAGCAAAATGGAGGGGGGCTGGAGAGATGGCTCAGTGGTTGAGTCCTTGTTCTCACAGAGGCCCTGGGCTCTGTTCCCAGCACCCACATGGCAGCTCACAGATGTCTGTAACTCTAGTTCCAGAGGATCTGATGCCCTCTTCTGGCCTCTGAGGGCATTGTGTGCACATGGTACATTGACATGCATGAGGCAAAATACCAGTACACATAAAATAAAAATAAATACACACACACACACACACACACACACACACACACACACACACACACACACACACATATATCTCAAGACAAAGTTTCTCTCTGTAATCCTGGCTGTCCTGGATCTCGCTCTTAGACCAGGCTGGCCTCAAACTCACAGAGATCTGTCTGCCTCTGCCTCCCTAGTACTGGGATTAAAGGCTGAATGCGTGCACCACCACCTCCCGGGCAATAAATGATTCTTTAAGAAGGAAGTGGTGGCCAGGCGGTGGTGGCGCACGCCTGTAATCTCAGCACTCAGGAGGCAGAGGCAGGCGGATCTCTGAGTTCGAGGCCAGCCTGGTCTACAGAAGGAGCTCCAGGAAAGGCGCAAAGCTACACAGAGAAACCCTGTCTTGGAAAAAAAGAAGAAGAAGAAGAAGAAGAAGGAGGAGGAGGAGGAGGAGGAGGAGGAGGAGGAGGAGAAGAAGAAGAAGAAGAAGAAAGTGGTGGATGAGAGATTTCAGGTTCCTTTAGGAAGAGAATGAATCTAGGTTCCTCCTCGGTGCCACACTTCCTGCCTCCACCCACCCTATAATTTTAGTGTTTTGTGCAAAAGCAAAGTTCTAGATGAAAATTACTTTATTTTTAGGTCATATCTACCGAGAATCTCAGGATATAATCACCTCAAATAACTTTATCACATTTTTATTTATTTAGCGTGTACATGTGTGTGCATGTGGGGACAGCAGCACATATGTAGAGGTCAGAGCACAACATTCGGGAGTCGGTTCTCTCCTTCCATCGTGTGGATTCCAGAGATCCCACTCAGGTTTGGCTTGGTGGCAAGCGCTCTGACCCACTGAGCCGTCCTGGTGGCCCCACAAATTCTTTTAAAGCAAACACCAGGGAGCTCTTGCCTCCCCCGCGGCTAGACTGTTATCAGCACCCTTTCCCCACCCAGCTCATCGTCTGGAGGCCAGGCCATGCCTCCCTCTTCTTCCCATGCCTCAACCGTACAGTCTGCCCATTGCTGGACTTTGGGTAAATAAAAATCACGCATCATGTTTCCTTTTCCGGCTAGCATCCTTTAGGCAAACCGGCCCTCTTTACGTGAT